GAGTCTACATTCATGGAGGTATTGGTCTGTAGTTTCTCTCTACCTATCCCCTCCCTCCCTCCCTTCTTTTCTCTCTATTTTATTTCTTTGTCTTTGGTTGTTAGTACCTGCATTATATTAGCTTCATAAAATGAATGGGAAGTGTTCCCTCTTCCTCTGTTTTCTAGATGAGATTATGTGGAATTAGTGCTAATTCTTTAAACAGTTGGTAGATTTCTCCAGTGGAACCATCTGGGTATGCAGATTTCTTTTGTTTTTTTGAGACAGTTTCAGGTTGGCCTCAAACTCGAGATCTTCCAGCCTCAGTCTCCTGAGTGCTGGGGTTACAGTCATGCACAACCACACCTGGCCTGGAGATTTCTTTTTTTGAGAATTTTAAGCTTATGAACTTAATTTCCTTAATAGTTATAAGTATTCAGATTACCTAGTTTGTGTTTCTTAATCTAAATTATCAAATTTATATTCATATCCTTTTGATATCTACAAAGTCTTGTGTCCTGGTTTAAGCCTATAATCCTGGCTACTTGGGAGGCAGAGATTGGGATGTTCTCAGTTCAAGGCCTGCCCAGGCAAAAAGTTGGTGAGTCCTCATCTCATACAATAAAAAGCTGGGTGTGATGGCATGTTTCTGTTATCCCAGCCATGGAAGCATAAATAGGAGGATGACAGTCCAGGCCAGCTTGGGCATAAAAGCGAGCCCTATCTGAAAAATAACCAAATCAAACAAAGAGCTGGGAGCATGGCTCAAGTGCTAAAAGTGCTTGCCTAGCAAGTGCAGGGCTCTGAGTTCAACCCCTAGTACTGCCACACAAAAAAGAAAATAAACAGTATTATTTCTTTTCTTTTTTTCATTCAATACGTGGAATTGAACCCAGGGCTTCTTGCTGCTAGGCGAGAGCTATACCACTTAAGCCATGCCCCTGGCCCGCTATTTCATTCTTTTTTTTTTTTTTCAGCACTGGATTTTGAACTCAGGATCTATACCTTGAGCCACTCCACCAGCCCCCCCTGCCTTTTTTTTTTTTTGTAATACTAATTTGTAATACTAAATTTTGTAATACTAATTACACATTTAAAACTACATCGGGACTGGTCGAGTGACTCAAGTGGTAGAGCACTTGCCTAGGAAACATGAGGTTCTGTGTTCAACCCAAAAAACAACCCTACCCGTCCTTGAGGCCCATGGGGCCGTTGGCTCATGCCTGTAATCCTAGCTACTCAGGAAGCAGAGATCAGGAGGGTTGCTTTTTGAAGCCAGAGGGGGCAAATAGTTTGAGAGACCATATCTCAAAAAAAAAAAACAACAAAAAAACAAAACCTTTATTAGATGGTATTATAATTTTAGTTTTAATCATCAGATATAACTTAGAAAACCTAAGAGAAGGAGACCATGTTATATTTACCCATATATTTTTTTCTATGTTTTTCAGAGTTCCAAGTTTCCTTTTTTATTATTTCCTCTCTTTAGAGAATTCTTAAAGCCATTCTTTTCGTGTAGGTCTGCTGGTGAGAGTCTCTAAATTTTTCTTCAAGTGAGGATGTCTTGATTTGCCTCTCATTCCTGAAGGATATTTTCCCTAGGTATAGGATTCTGAATTGACACTTTCTTTCACTACTTGAAAAATAGTATGCACTTCCTTCTGGCCTCTGTCAAAATCTGTTGTTACTCAAATTGTTTGCCCATGTAAATAAGGTGTCATTTTTCAATAGCTGCTTTCAAGATTTTTAAAATTTGTTCAGTCATCAGAAGTTTCATTATGATATATCATGACATGAATTTGGGATTTATTCTGTTTGGGGTTTGCTTGGCCTCTGGGATTTGTAGATTTATGTCTTTTGTCAAATTTGAGAAGGGAAATTTTGAACCATTGTTTTTAGAGTACTTTTCTCCAACTCACCCCTTTTTCTGTGGCATCTGGAATTCTGATGACATGAGTACATGGAATAACTTCTTAGGGCCCCTGCCAAGCTTAGTTTTCTATGTTCTCCCAATTAGAATGGTGGGGTTCATGAAACAAGTCAGACTTGATATAGTCATTGGCTTGTAGTGCCTTTGCCTTTGGGAGATGCCTAGCCTTGCCTTTTCTCAGCTGCTTCCAGATATGGGGAGATGATGTTTTAATTAAAGTATGTGCCTGTGTCTTGGGGAAAAAGAATTGGCAGTCACTCTGGCTATTTTGAAATCATTTCCTCTTTCTTTTGTAACTTTCTCTCCACCTAGATGTCACAGTGCATTCAGAAAATACTTACCTGTGCTAAGAGCTGTGGCAGACAGTTGACCTTGAAGAGTTAACAGTGGTAGGGGCAGTTCCTTATGGAACACAAATAACTGAGAGACAGATGCCATAAGAGGCCTTCTAGAGCTAAGGGAGTTCAGGGAGGGGAGGACATGTTTCCCACAGGATGCAGAGTGCATCATGGAAGATGTGGCCTTTGAACATGAACTCTTGTGGTACCTGTAGATGCCCCAGGAGAAAATGGAAAGAAAGGATATTTAAGGCAAGGGAAATGAGGGGAGTAAAGGCATTGAAGCTGAAAGCACAGGTGTTATTGGACAGGGTGAGGGGGGCAGGGGAGAGGGTACAATGAGGAACCAGTAACAAATTAACTCAGATTGTGAAGAGCCTTGTTTGGATCTGGCTTTTACTTGGTAGGAATTTAGTGTTTTTGAAAACCACAGGGGTGTGGTAGCTCAGGGGTAGAGTATATGCTTAGCATGTAGAAAGCCCTGAGTTCAATTCCTGCTCCCCCCAAAAAAAAAAATCCATTCACATATACTGGACATGGTCATGCACGCCTGTGATTCCAGCACTTGGGAGACTGAGGCAGGAGGATTGAGAGTTTGAGAACAGCTTGCATTACATAATGAGACCCTGTTACACACACACACACACACACACACACACACACACACACACACACACAGAGTAAAACTGACTACTTTACCAAGATTGAGAGGCTGTTTCATTCCAAGCTGTGGGAGAAGGCTGTCTGAGTGCTCCCTCTTATGTGAGAGAGCACCTCTGCACATTTTCAGTTAAGCTTCAAGAAATGCCTCATTTGGATGGTAGTTCCATTATATAGGTAAGAACACTAAGGCTCACGTTGTAATCCTAACTACTCAGGAAGCAGAGATCAGGAGATCAGTTCAAAGCCAGCCCAGGCAAATAGTTCACAAGACCCTATCTTGAAAATGCCCATCACCAAAAAAATAAACAAACAAACAATAAAAGGGCTGGTGGAGTGGCTGAAGGTGTAGGCCCTGAGTTCAAACCCCAGTACAGCAAAAAAAAGCAAAGCAAAATAAAAAAACACTGAGCATTAACTATCTGGCTGTTCTGAGAGTTAAGTGTCTGATGAAAGACAAATTTCTTCTCCACCAAGTTGAAGGGTTGTCTTCACCAACATTGAAAAAGTTAGGAAGCTGCCTTCAGACCTTAAGATAAGGTGGCATTTATGCTGTTGGGCCTGGTGATGACCAGTGGACTTCAAAGTCACTTTCACCCTTGGGTAGCCCAGCATCCATCTTCCCTTCATTGCCTGGAAGAGGCATGTACTCCATCTTCATGCTTTAGTATGGAAGCTGGAAGGAGCTCGGGAGATACTCAGTCCAACAACCCTTCTTTTTCCATGGGAACCAGAGGCCCAGACTGGCTAAGCCCTCTGTTCACCTCCACACATAGCATAGGTTATTGCAGGGTTTGGTCCATTCTGCCTCACTGGCCTTTTCATGTTATTGTCTTTCCAAATCTCCAGCCCCCTGCTTTTCCCTCACATTTTTTTTTTTTTTTTTTTTGGGTGGGATTGGGGTTTGAACTCAGTGTTTTGTGCTTGCAAAGCAGGTGCTCTTCCTCTTGAGCCACACCTCCAGTCTATTTTGCTCTGATTATTTTGGAGATGGTGCCTCTCAAACTATTTTTCTGATCTCAGCATCCCAAGTAGCTAGGATTACAGGCATGAGGTACCAGGGCCTGACTTCTCTTTCACTCTTCCCCGACCCCCCTCAGGTTTTTAATTGTCCCACAAAGTGCTTTTAACCCTTCTGAGCTATGCAAGGAAGTCTGCTTCAACCTTTAAAATGAGGCTGATCTCTAGATAAATACCCATCATCCTGCCTGCTTTCATTTGGATAATTTCTATATGGCTCACAGAAATGAGGTTTAGATTCATGTAGTTATTGGCAATACTTTAATTGAAATTTAGAGCCTTGTGCTTGCTAGGCAGTCAGGAGCTCTACCACTTGAGCCATGCCCCTATCTCTTTTTGCTTTAGTTATTTTTTTTAATAGGATCTCATGTTTTTGCCTGGACTGCGATCTTCCTGTTTATGCCTCCCTTGTAGCTGGGATCACAGGCATGTACTACTATACTCTGTTTTTGGTTTTTTGTTGTTGTTGTTGTTGTTTTTAATGTTACTGGGGATACAACCCAGGGCCTCATGCATGCTAGGCAAACACTTAACCACTGAGTTACATTCCCAGCCTATGCCCTGCTTATTGATTAAGATGGGGGTCTCATGAACTTCTGGCCCAGACTGGCCTACAACCATTATGCTCCTGAGCTCCGCTTCCCAAGTAGCAAGGATTATAGGTGTGAGCCACTGCGCCTGTCCTCAGGCACTTTCTTATAGTATGGTTCAGAAAGGATATCCTGGTCTTGTAAAATTGCTTCAATAATTTCCTGGCTGGTTGTCAGATGCAGAAATTCTGGGTTGGGGATGACCAGTGCACAGATGACTTCTTCACCATTTGGTGAAGAAGAGTCCATGCAATCTGAGAACTAAGGTAGCTCCAGTGGAGCCATTTGGAACAGTGGTGGAAAGAGAACTGTCACATGGCCCCAGAATGACCTGATCTTGGGCATGCTAGCACCACCTCCTCTAGTCGTTAGTTTTCTTTGTGAATTGGTGCACTCCACAGGGCTAGTAAAAGTACACCTGCACCGTTGTGTCTGTAGACTATAAAGGTAAGGAGTTATTTTTGCTGTCATTGTCATTGTTAGGACAGTGTGGACATTCTCAGGCTGACGCTCCAGAGTGAACTGACAGGACATGAACTTGAGCACATAGCCCAGAAGGTATCAAGGTTTCTGGTGGGACAAGGCTCTTCCCTCAGTCAGTTCTCCTGCCTTGCTGCTGACCCCTCACCCCAGTGCTGCCTGGAGCCACCTCTGCTGCTGCAAGCTTGGGAGCCTCTGCTTTCAGACATCCCCAGCTGAGCTCAGCATTGTGCACTGCTTTGGAGGGTGGGGAGACTCCCACTAAAATAAAAACTAACCTGCATTTTCCACTAATGTTCCCTGTCCCACATTCTTGTGGTATGGCTTCTGTTAGAAGCTCTGAGTAGATTTTTGGAGAGGAAACATCAGACTAATGCTTTGAATCTTTTGAGGAGAAGGTCTTCTGCATTGGTTGAGGGGCAGGAGTTCTGGGCTTGCTGGTGGTTTCTGAGTCACTTCTCTGACTCTCTCTGGCAGGCGGGCAGGAAAACATATACCATGGTGTCTAGCCGCTCACCTGCTCATTCTCTGGCTTCAGAACTAGTGGAATCCAGTGATGGACATGAAGAGGTCATTAAGGTAAGCTTCGTTCACCTCTCCCCTCCCTCCCCTCTTTTGTTCCTTGCAGGCACAGGAGAGGGCTTGTGGTTTGACTGGAAGGAACTAGATCTGGGGTGCTAGTTCCTTGTCATCTCCTGGAAAGATCTTAGACAACTCCAGGAGACCAGAATCTGCCTATAGTGACTTTGTTGTATTTCCACGATGACTAATGATGTTGAACATCTTTTTATGTGCTTATTGCCATTTGTATATCTTCTTTGGAGAAATATTTTTTAAAATCCTTAACTTATTTTGAAAATCCAGTTTTCTTAATTATTGAGTTATAAGGAGTCTTTATATATTCTAGATACTACTCTATTATCAGATACATGGTTTGCAAATATTTTCTCCATTCTGTGGGTTTTTTTTTTTTTTTTTTTACTTTTTTGATGATATCCTTTTAATCACAGTTTTTAATTTTGATAAGTCTAGTTTATTTTTTTGAGACATAGTTTTACTATGTATACCAGATTGGCCTTGAACTAAAGGAGTTCTGGGATTACATGTGTGTACTAATATGCCTGGCTCTGTTTTTTCTTTTGTTGTTTAGTGCTTTTGGTGTCATGTCTAAGAAGTCTTTGACTACTCTAAGATCATAAAGATTTAGTCCTATATTTTCTTCAAGGAGTTACACTTTTTGCTCTTACAAGTAGGTCTGTAATCCATTTTGAGTTAATTTTTGTGTATAATATGAGGAAGGAGGCTGGGGGTGTGACTTAAGTGGTGGAGCACTTGCCTAGTAAGCGCAAGGCCCTGAGTTTAATACCCAGTACCACAAAATAATATTAATAATAGAAAGGGTCCATCTTTCTTCTTTCACGTGTCCGTATCCAGCTGTTCCAGCAGATTATTTTTTCCCCAATGAATTGCCTTGGCACTCTTATCAAAAATCATTTTAGTATATTATTACAACGTTATTATTATTTCTGGACTTTGAGTTTTCTTTCCTTGATCTACCTGTTAGTCTTTTTTAAATTTTTTCTCATTTTTACTAGCATACATTAATTATACAGGGAGGGGCACCTGTCAGTCTTTATGGCAGTGCCACCCTGTCTTGATTACTGTAGCTTTATAGTTAATAGTGAAAATGGCAAATATGAATCTAGCCTTGTTCTTTTTTCAAGGCTTTTTGCTTTTTTTTTTTCCTATTCAGTTCTTTGCATTTCCTTATGAATTTTAGGATCATTTTAGTTTTCTGCAAAGAAGCCAGCTTGGCTTTTGATAGGAATTCTGTTGAATCTGTAGGCCAATTTGGAGAGTATCAATCTTCCAATCCATAAAAATGGGATGTTCAACAATATTTTGTAGTTTTCTTGAGCTTTTTTGTTAAGTTTATTTATAAGATTTTTTTTAATGCCATTGTAAATGGAATTCTCTCTTATTTAAAAAAAAAATTGGCTGTGCTGGTGTTTGAACTTAAGGCCTCACACTTGCTAGGCAGGCATTCTGTCATTTGAGCCATATCCCCAACACTTTTTGGTTTAGTTATTTTTTGAATAGGATCTTGTGGTTTTCTGCAGGCTGGCTTGGACCCACATCTTCCTGTTTATGCCACCTAAGTAGGATTACAGGTGTGAGCCACCGTGCTTGGCCAGAATTTTCTTAATTTTATTTTATGGATTTTTCCATTCTGTAGGGTTTTTTTTTTTAGTGAATTTCTTAGGATATTCTATCTATAAAGTTATATCTTCTGCAAACAGAGATAGTTTTACTTCTTTCTTTCTAGTCTGGATGCCTTTAGTTACTTGATTTTGTTTTTCTATTCAAAATAGTTGCATGCTCTTAAAGGAGATAAAACTAATTCATTGTTAACACCTTACTGTATATTCCCCCAGATATTGTCTCATACATAATTTTTAAAAAATGAAATAGTGGCTCAGGTGGTAGAGTGCCTGCCTAGCAAGCATGAGGCCTTGAGTTCAAGCCCCAGCACTACCAAAAAAAATTTTGTTTAAATGAATTGTATTAATATACTCCATTATCATCTCCTCCTCCCATGTTCTTTTTGTAGTACTGGGACTTGAACCCAGGGACTGGAATGTGCTAGGCAAGCACTTTACTACTAAAGACACTCCTCCAGCCTTTTGTTTGTATTTTGTTTTTTTTGAGATAGGGTCTCACTATCTTTGCTCAGACTGGCCTTGAACCAACCAACCCTGCCTCTGCCTCCTGAGTAGCTGGAATTATAGGTGTGTACCACCACACTTGGGCCCCCTCCCACACTGTAATGATACATTATGGCATCTTTTGTGTCTACAATCATAGAGAGATATATGAGTTTTTGATGGCTACATAGTATTCTATTAAAGACTTGCCATGGGCTGTGGGCATGGCTCACATGTAGAGTGTCTTCTGCCTAGCAAGTGCAAGATCCTGAGTTCAAATCCCAGTACCACAAACAAAACAAATTGGAATCACATACATCCACTGAGAAAACCTACCACATTAGTCTTCGGATGTTTAAAAAAAAGACTTGCTATAATTTATCTAATTAATCACCCATTGTTGGATATTTTGTCTGGTTTTTTTTTTTTTCAGTACTGGGATTTGAATTCATAGCCTCAGGCTTGCTAGGCAGGCACTCTACTACTTGAGCCACTTCCTCAGCCCCTATTTTCATTCTCTTGCAACCATATACAATAATTTTCTGGTCGTAGATGTTACTAAATTGTATATGTTTCATAATACAAATAACTCAGAAATATTTCTCAATTGTAAAAGATTCAAGCATGGTATGTGGAGCAAAGCATTTTTCCTCTTGTACCCCTCTTTCATAGAAGGACCCGCAGTGAATAGTTTGGCTTGCATTATTCCAGTCCCCTTTCCATGAATTTATGTTTATATACTATTGGTATAACAATATGGTTATCTTTTGTTTGCTTAATTTTTTTATATTAGGATAAATTTCTAGTAGGGTATTTAATAGGTTTTCTAATCTGAATCATCAAGTTGCCATTTAGTAAATTGGTGGTAACAAATTGCATTCCTTCTACAAATAGATGAGGCCGTGTGTTTGTTCTGAATTAATTTAAAAATGAAGTTTCTTAACCACATAGTGTTGTCCTCATTTCAGGTATACTTAAAGGGAAGGTCTGGAGACAAAATGATCCATGAGAAGAATATTAACCAGCTGAAGAGTGAGGTCCAGTACATCCAGGAGGTGGGTACCCCTTCCCTCTGAGGCAGTACCTAGGCCATTTCTCTAAACCTAACATGTGAGGGGCTCCCTTCTTTTATGGGTTCTGTTTTTTCCCTTCTGCTCTCTTTATATCTCTGAATTGCCCCATGCTCTTCCATGTGTCAAATATCCTTTTTGGCCATTAAGTACCATGTGCCTAGCAATCTCCCTAGACTTTTCCATGTACTATTGTCAGCCTCCCTCCCCAGCATTTCCCAGCCCCTCTTTGACTTATATTTCTCCTTGGCACTTACCACCATATAACATGCTATACATCTTATTTCTCTTTTGTATTGTATCTCCCCAACTGGAATGTTAGGATGACTAGATTAGTGGGTTCGTTTCTTTTGCTGCTTATGCAGGAAGACTGTAGCCCCATTTAACCAAGGTTCCTGTGTCTTGCAGCCAGTGCTTGGAACAGTGCCAGACTCAGTAGTACAGGGTAGGGTATACTTTGTGCTGTTCTCTTTCCTTACCCTGAAACTCAAATATCCTGCCCTCCCCCCCAGGCCAGAAACTGCCTGCAGAAGCTCCGGGAGGATATAAGTAGCAAACTTGACAGGGATCCAGGAGACTCTGTCCACCAGCAGGAGATAGAGGTAATAGGGAATGGTGTTGAATCCAGCACCAGTGCCTGGAAGGGGGAGGATACGAGGGACGCTGGCTTCTCTGAGAGCTCACAATGGAGTTAGGGCTTCCAGCAGGTAGGCACTTGGATTAATGTGAATCAACCTATATATATGTGCACCTGCTCCTGCCCTGGGATGGGAAATTCCTAGAGATCAGAGGTTGACCACCCTGTCCCTGTATCACTAGCCCAGTCCGGGGTGTGGAATTCAAAGGCATCAATACTAGGCCAAACAGATTGGATAAATATTTTCTGGGATTGATAATTCAGGATCCTGCTTTTCAGCTTTTTCAAAATTCTGGGATAGGAATGTCCTCGGGAGAGCAGAGCTATCCCCTTAGGACTTCACCTTCATCTCCATTTGCATTTTGGTTTGGGCAGGGTGGTCTTTCTTCAGAAGGGAATGGCAGCCTAGCAGCTGGTGCCAGGAAAGCTCCTCTTTGCCTTGGCCATGCACTAGGTTTTGTGTACCAGACATTCCTTTATTCATTTTGCTCTAGCGAAGATAGGACTTTCAGTGTCTGATCTCACATTTGGCTAGTGCAAGACATTTTGTCAGGTAGCAGAAGAACTTCATGTGCTTAGAGACTGGCCCAAAAGTCAGGCCCCTTGTTTGCACACACTAGCAGTCATATGATGAATGATCAAGCTTTGGGTTGGAAAGAATTGTAGCAAAAGCCGTTCTTTTGATTTATGCTTTGTTAAACCTTGTCAGGATCTCTATGGGCAAAGGAAAAAATACTTTGTGGCAAGCAGCTGCTTGTATTCTCAGGAGGAATGGGTCTCACATTTTCCAGTTTGCTAAAAGATTTTAGTCTGAGGTTTCTTTTATCCTCCCCACAATGTTAGAGTCTTCCCTCTTAAGGCCGGTTTCTACCTCCTCTGGTTTCTATTTTCCCATGAGCACTGGAATACTTCTTATTTCTCTTCCCTCTTTCTTTCATCTCACCCTTTCCTCCTTTCTTTTCTTCCTCCCTTTTCTCACTCTGTCTCTACTTCCTGTTTTTCCTTCCTGCTTCCTTCTCCCTCTCTCCTTCCCACTTCCTTCCATCCTTCCTCCTCCCTCTGTGATTTGAGGTTTTAGGAGTATAATGTTTTGAGATTGGTTGGTTGGTTTGCTGGTTAAATTGTTTTAAGCATCAGTTTTATTTATTTTTGAACAGGTGTTCCTAGAAAAGCCAAATGGCTTTAATCAGGGTCCCACAACCCTGTACAACAGCCCTCCTGAGGTAGGTAAGAGGGGACAACATAGTGACTGCTGCTTAGCAAGGAGCAGGATCTTCTGCTCCTCGAGCCCTTTCTTTATTTCTCTTTCTTTTCCCCGCTTTTTCTCTCTCTCTCTGCAAACCTACTTCTTGGAAGTATCCACTGTTCACAGATTGAAGTAGGTGTATCCTTCTAGAGCAGTGTCTTTTAGCCTTGGCTGCCACCTGGAGTGACCTTGGGAGCTTTGAAGAAGATGATACCTGGGTTCCATTCTTAGAGATTATAATGTAATTATTCTGAGATGTGACCTGGGCAGCAGGGCTTTTTCGTTGTTGTTGTTAATTTAAAAAAATTTTTTTATTCATATGTGCATACATTGTTTGGGCCATTTCTCTTCCCTGCCTCCCTCCCCGCCTCCCTCCCCACCTCCTCCCCCCACCCCCAGCAGGGCTTTTAAAAGTTCTTTAGGAGCTGTGAGTGGTGACTTATGCCTGTAATCCCAGTTACTTGGAAGTCAGAGATGGGAGAATTACAGTTGGAGGCCAGCCTGGGCAAAAAGTTAGTGAGACCCTATCTTAAAGAACAAGCTTGACATAGTGGTCCACCCTTGCACCTACATACACAGGAGGTGGAGGTAGGAGGATTGCAATCTGAGGCTGGTCTGGGCAAAAGCACAAGACCTTATCTGAAAAATAACTAAAAGCAGAAAGGGCTGGGGGCATGTCTTAGGTGGTAGAGTGCCTGCCTAGCCAGCTTGAAGCCATGAGTTCAGAACTCCAATGTTGTCACAAAGCTCTTCAAGTGATGTTCAACCAAAGTTGAATACCAGCATTCTAGAGTATTTTTCTATGTGTAGACACTCATATTTAAATACTATATGTATATTAAACATACTATATATGCGTACATAAATATATGCATATAACAGATTTTATAAATTCAGGGTCATGGTAAATATGTTATTCCTTGCTTGCTCTTAATTTTTTTAATTGAAGAGTATATTATAGTTTTCTTCCCATGTTAATACATATAGATCGTCATTCTTTTGAATAACTGCATGGTATGTCCTTCCATGGCTGTACTTTTTTAAAAAAAAGATATTTGTTACACTTTTGTGGTTATATAATAATATAAGACATGCTTACTATAGAAAATTTGGGAAATCTAGAAATATGGATAAGTGAAGGAAGAAAAGCTATCAATTTTTTTCCTCTCCTCCGAAGGAAACCATGATTTGGTAAAATGTTCTTTGTTGTTTTCTTCATTGCAAGTAGTATTTGCAATATTGAGATTGTACCAATATATGGTCTCCCTTTGTATTTAGCTTTTGTTTCATTGGGGTTTTTTCTTTGGTTTTGGTTTTGGCTTTTGGTGAACCCAAGGCCTCCTGCATCCTAAGCCTGGGCTTTACTACAGAGCTACACACCCAGCCCCAAGGGTAATTTTTTGAATAGGTCATATCCAAAAAATTTGGAGTCATACCTGCACATTAGTCATGGCACATGACCATCAGGGGATCAGGGGTGCCATCAAGTGCTTTCACTGGTTTTACTGCTATTTTCCTCTTCCCCCACTCACTGTAAGGTGTTTTCTATGACTTTAAATATGGCTATAAAATTACTTCAGTTAATGTTCAGAATCTGTTTGTTATTGCATTAGTTTGTTATTTCTCCTTCTCACATGTAAAACTTTATAACTCTTTGTTTGCTTCATATTGTATCATATGATGAAATAATATTTTCTTTCTTTCCTTTTTTTTTTGTGGTGCTGGGGATCAAACCCAGGGCTTTGGACATGCAGGCAAGCACTTTACCACTGAGCTGCACCCCAGCCCCAGAAATAAGATCTTCATGAAATTCCATGTAATTTAATAGTCTTATGAGAATACTGTTTGAAATAAATGTATCATAGATAGGTTCCAGGAACCTTTTAAAGCAATTTCAGTTGCTCAGCCACTTAGGTCAGGTTATTGGGGAATGGACAAGATAACTTATTGATATCCTAATTTTAAATGTGGTCTAGCCACTTGCTTTAGATATGCAGTTTGGATTTTTCTTTTTTGTTGAGTCACCATATTTCGCAAATATGTTATTGGTAACAGATTATAATACTGTAATATCTGTTTGGCTTCTTTCTTGTCATTAGCTCAAAATTCTACATGATATTATCTCACCTATTTTGGAGGCAGTCTATAAGGCAGAGTATGCTAAGGAATCTCCCCCATGCTTTACAGATACAGAAATGGAGGCCCCATAGGACCCAGTAATAAAGCAACTGGGAAGCCGACTCTGTCCTCCCAGCTGAGGGCTCTGGGCTCTGTGGTGAAGGTGTTCCTGCTTTCCACTGTGTGAGACTGGGACAGATTCTCTGTCAGACTCTCAGGGAGTTGGGAACTGAAGTGTCATGTGCCTTTGCAGCAGAAATGGGGGTGAGACCCTAAACACCAGCCCACAATTGGGTATATATAGAAGAGACATGCAGCAGTAACCTTGATTGAGATACCTTTTTCTGCATCAAGTCAGATTCTTAAGATCCTTGGGTGTTTTTGCTCTAAATCTGTCCATCCATCAGTAACCTTTTTAATGCTGATCTCTGTGCTATGTATTGACAAGAGTAAAAGATGTTTCTCTGGGTTGTTGTCCTTGTGATGGGAGCCTGGCATAGTTCTTGTCCTTGGGGATGCCTAGGCCAAAGGGGAACATAGTCCCTGCACTCAAAGAGCTCTAGTCTGAGAGAGAGAAGTAGGATACACACATAACGACAGCATACGCATACCTGTTAAGAAATTATTTAGTTGGTGGTTCAAGTGGTAGAGTGCCTGCCTAGCAAGTGTGAGGCCTGAGTTTGAGCCTTAGTACTGCCAAAAAAAAATTAATCAACTAATGTAATGGAGAACTTTGAATCTGGGATCAGGTTAAAAAAAAGAAACTACAAAAAACATTTTTGGGCTGGTGGAGTGGCCCAAGAGGTAGAGAGCCTACCTAGCAAGAAATTATTTGGTTGATGTGTATATAAATAATTACTGAGTGTCATAATAGGGTCACTTGAGGCTATCTGAGTTCTTTTAGAAAGGTATAAAAGGACAATTCTTTTATATGAGTAGCTTAGAACTATTGACGCTCTCCCCTTGTGCAATGGTGCAATGTTGCAATGTTAATTCTTTTGTGAAGGTGGTCCCTACAAATGGTCCAAGCCAGTATGGTGGGGAGGAGACCTTCTCTTACAAAATCACAAACATTGTGGCTTCACTGTGCGGTTGTAGATGGACACTTATATAAATGAAGATGTTGAGAGCTTGAGGAAGACCGTGCAGGACTTACTTGCCAAGCTGCAGGAGGCTGAGCGGCAACACCAGTCAGACCGTGTGACTTTTGAGGTGAGATTTGGAATTTGGGGAGAAGGTGCCCCAAGAGATGGGCTACTGGATGCAGGTGCCAATGACTTTCTTGACATGGACTTCATGTTTTCCTGGCCAAGTGCCACCAACTGGAAAAGCAAGACTTTGAGGCCTGGGATACTTCTGTCTGCCTTCCCTTTTCCTGGATGGATATCACAGGGTTTGCTGTCCAAGTTTTGCCCGTAGTTCAAAGGTCAGATCTACTGTGTTAAGCAGTAGTACCAGTCCGGGACAGTAGTTAATTCAGAAGTCATTTCTACGTGTACCATGATAAGGATTATAAGGATTATTGCCGTCATGCTGAGTCCCCAGTGTCTGGCATAATATGTGGCATAAGGTGGGTGTTTCATAGATGTGGATTGAATGAATGGGTACATCTGTGCTGGTAAAAAGAACTGTGCCTGTGGAGTTAAAAGGGTGTGTGATCTCGAACAATGTCTTTATTATTATTATAGTTGATTTTTATTTTTTTGTGGTACTGAGGATCAAACTCAGGTCCTCATATACACTAGGCAGATGCTATACCACTAAGCTACATTTCTAGGCTGATAGTTGATTTTTTAAAAACTAATATTAGTTTATTATAGAACATTTTTTTAATGTAGAAGTTTACAAATAGAGAGTGAAAGCCTGTTTAAAGGTTTTCTATACTTTCTAGAAAATTCTTTGAGTATAAAATGAAGCTCAATGGGCAGTTTTCTAACTATTCTGTGTATAACTAGCCATCTGTTATCTAATATTGTTCACACCCAAAGTATTTGTATGTTATAAATATTTTATGACAGGATTGTATTCTGGCTAGTCATGCTGGGAGCTGGTGAAAAAAGGAAGGCCAGCCTGAACTCTTTTATGGAAATGAAAGAGAATATTTTTTTCCCTGGTAATGGGGTTTGAACACAGGGCTTCACTTTGCTAGGCAGGTCCCCTATCATTTGTGCCTCTCCCACAACTCTTTTTGCTTTAGCTATTCTTAAAATAGGGTCTCGAGTTTTTGCTAGGGGCAGCCGGGACTGGGATCTTCCTATTTATGCCTCACAGATAGCTGGGATGACAGGCACACACTACCACTTCCACCTTTATTGGTTGAGATGTGTTCTCACTAACTTTTTGCCCAGGCTGGTCTCCCTGTCTTCTGAGTAGCCGGGCTTATAAGCATGAGACACTGCATCCAGCCCTTAAAAAGAGAGTTTTTGAGCGAAAGATTGAGAGTGCAGAAGAAAGGTACCAAGAGGAGTCTTTGCTCCCATTTCCTTCGTGGAGAACAGGAGATAATTCTCTCTCTCTTTTCTACCCCACTCCCACCCTAAAAAAAAAAAAAAGGTACTGAGAATGCTAAACTATCTCAGGGTTAATTTAAAGTAACCACGCAAGTAACTTAACCAATTCTAAATTTTGTAAAAAGGAGTCTGCATCATGTGAGAACACTTTATTATTCAAAAGGATTTTTAGAAATATAAGATAATCTATATTTTTCTTAGTAATCAGTTTAATAAGCAGATTTCCCTATGGTTGGTTATGTAGCACCTTGGTGACCAGCTATTTCCTACTTGCCCTGAAAAAAATAGGAAGGGAAGTTTGAAACTATAGCACTGCTTGTGAATTTTGGAAAGCAATTTCTACATAGAAAGGCTTTCTGAAGTTGTGGAAATTCTTAGAAGTACTTGACAGTTTGAACCACACGGGGAACGGTCTCTTTCTCCTGAACAAAAGTGCCCTGACTGTATCCCAAGGCTAGAAGGCTTCTGACAGCTGTCCAGCTACAGTGCAGAAGGGACTATTTCTTAACCTCATGGTGCATAGCATCTACCTGCAGCTCATTGGGATAGGTGGAACACCTTCTTGTAATCAAGAGGTTCTTTTGAGTATGGCTGGAGCTACTGGGACAGCTGTGGAAAGGGAGTCTATATTTTTTCTTTCTTCCTTTTTTTTTTTTTTGTAGCTGTACTGGGATTTGAACTCAAGGCCTCATGCTTGTAGGCAGGTGCTCTACCACTTGAGCCACTCCACCAGCCCTTTTGTGTGTTGGGTCCTTTTGGGATAGGGTCTTGTGTACTCTTTGCCTAGGCTGGCCTCAAACCAAGTAGCCTCCCAAGTAGCTAGGATTACAGGAGCAAGCCACTGACACTTGGCTATATTTTTTCTTTAAACACTCTTGTGAGTCTATGAATGGGGATTGGGTTTTGGACCATATCTCTGTTAAAATCATGGTCTGGGCACACATGAACTTAAGTGGTGTGTTCTTGTACTGAGATGAGAGACCTGTGTTTTTAAGTTCTTGGCCATGGAGCTGGCTGGTTTTAGACCCATATGGGTTATGTGAGAGTGTTTGTCAACTTGTCCTAATGAATTGGACTCTGTCTTCTTTGCTGAACCGGGAGTGTAAGGAAGGACAAGGTTGTCAATTACCATGAAAATAGCCTGCTATTAAGCATGGGCTTCCCATTCTGCTGGCTGCTTGCTATCTGGAATTTGCTCTGGACCAGGCCAGTGTGTAGTGTGGATACATCCAACACACAACATCCTGTTGTGTGCTTTCTCCTTCCTGATCCTGATTCTGAGAGGAGCCAGACAAACTGGATGCTCGTGTTATTTTCCCAGGGCTGGAAAGGCCTTCCAAAAGTTACCTAGAATCTCTTATAGCAAATGATGAGGAAACAGTGTAGGGCAAGTGGGAAGCAGTGAAATGGTTAGTGAAATGCCTGAATTGTAGCACTGACCCTGTCATTCTCTTAACTTTGTAACCTTGAATAGGTCAGTTGGCCTTTACTTTCAAAAAGGAACGGGTTGGACTAAATAATCATCATTCCATTCTTGACCTTATTAAGCAGTCACTGCATAGAAGGTACTATGTGGAGCTCTGAAAGTGTGGGTGGACTCAAGGTCAGTGCCATCATGAAGCTGACTGTCTACTCAGGGGTATACACAAGAGCCTGGGCAAAATCTGCTTAGTGCTCTGAGGGGGAAGTGCTCTGTGTCCCCTGAGAGCTCCTCCCCTAGGCCTGGAAGGCTCCCCATTGGAAGAGATGTCTAACTGAGGACTAGTAGGAGTTGAGGAAATGCAGATGGGAAGAAAGAAGCAAGTTCTTACTTTTTCATTTGAACATACTAAAATTCTGCTCTGTCCTTTCCAAATTGGTTTCTCATCTTTGATAAAAAGACAAATTCTTCCTGGTGCTTAGTAAACCTTTTTTGATGATGTATTGGCCTTGATATGAGGGTGAGGAAGAGTTAAAAAAACAGAAGGAAGGACATATCTTCCCCTGGACTATATTGCTCTGAATTAGTAGGAAAGCTACGGCATCGGGTTAAGCTTGGGTGGCACTGGAGGATTCATGGGGATGTTGAAGAAGTCACCCATCTGAAAAGTGGTGCTCATGGATACCAAGTGCCACTCTTTTAAAGAGGATCTCCATGAACTGTGTGCCAGTTAACCTTGGAGACAGAATTAATCTATGAGGGGTAAGTTAGTCTCAAGGTAGGCCTGAATGGGGATGGGAGGTGATGATGTGCTCACCACATATTTGTCCCTTCTTCCATCATGGCTCCAGAGCCACCTCAGGTATCTGGATTCTTACCTAAGGTTTTTATCATGTTTGCCTCCTTTTCCCCACCACTGACTACATGCCCGTTCTGTGTCATAGGTCACACTTAGCCGGTACCAGCGAGAAGCAGAACAGAGTAATGTGGCCCTTCAAAGAGAGGAGGACAGAGTGGAGCAGAAAGAGGCAGAAGTCGGGGAACTGCAGAGGCGCTTGCTGGGGATGGAGATGGTAATGGTTGGAGGCTCTGGTTTCAGAGCCTAGACTACAGTTGGGCTCTAGGGTTGATTCAGATGGCTGCTATGGCTCTCTCTAAACAATTCCAAAAAGGCTCTCTTCATAGCTTTGACACATCCTTTTGAATACCTTTTTAGTTTTTAAAGAAGGAAAGCTCCTTTGCTCATCCAGCTTCATTCTCCTCCTAGAGTTGAACCCATGTCCACTTTGGTCTGGTTTTTAGATGCCCTTTTTGGGCTTTTGAAGCCTGTTCCTTAGCAGCCACTTGACCTGCTTCTTTCTTGGGGATTGGCCTCCAGAGCTGGCAGGTGGGCTTGCATAATGCAGGGCCAGTTCTCCCTCTGGGCAGCTGGGTGAGGCTGGGAAGTTTCTATGTACTGAGAGTGGGAAGGGCTATCCCTACAGGGAGGGCGACCCATCAAACCAGCTTGGCCTGCTGCTCTTTGGCAGCTATCCCAGTCCCAGTTGGGATGGAGCCCCAGCCCTAGTACCATCTCACCCCAAACACAGAAACTGTTGCCACCTGCTCATACTAAGTGTCCCTTCCTCTGGCCCACCCAGGAGCATCAGTCCTTACTGGCGAAAGTCAGGGAAGGGGAGATGGCCCTAGAGGAACTTCGGAGCAAGAATGATGAATGCCAAGCAGAACAAGAAAAGTAAGAGCTCTCATTCACTATGAGGTTGGGGGGCAGGGAACATAGGGTGGGCTGTGCAGCCTTGCAGCTCCCATGGCTGCAGGAGGAAGCTGGTGCTGACATCAGATCTTCCAGCTCTGACTCACAACATGCTTGCTCAGGGTGGAGCCCCACCCAGGGAGATGCTCTTGGGAAGGCTGCCATCTGTAAGAAGTTCACTTTCCATGGGGCAATAACTGAAAGAAAAGGTTTCTATAGTTTTAGAGCCAGGGTCAAAGGGAGAGCTGGTCAAGAACTCAGCCTCTCATTCCACAGATAATTCTGCTAGATGTTTCCTCCTCCTGAAGTAGAAACTGACTGTAAGCTACTTGAGGGCCAGATAACTTCCTGTGTAGTTGTGCTGATAAAAGATAGAAGAAGACTTCCTGTTGCTCAATTCAGATAGAAAAACCACCTCTCCTCAGTAGCATATAGAGGATCACTCAGGTATTTTCAACCTCTAAGGTTAGAGGGTTTTGCAAATTCCTTCTGACCAGAGGGGATCGGAGAGGCTCCAGAACAATAAAACTAACAGAGCAAAGGTTGTGTCTTCTCAGTCTTCAGGAATTTGGAAATTCTTTCTGCTGTTGTTAATTTGTAAATAAGCTTTCACCCAGTATTGTGATGTGTTTATAATCCTAGCTACTGGGAAAGCTGAGGCAGGAAGATTGTGAGTTCAAGGTCTGCCTGGGAAACTTAGCAAGACCTTGTCTCTAAATAAATAAATGAATTTATAAGATCTTAGATAGTAAGTGAAATTTAACATCAGCATAGTGGGTCTGATTGCTATTGTATAAGCTGGACCTTTTTTTTTTTTTAGTTCAACAGACATTACCTGAAGGACTTTCTAAGGAATTCCAACATTAAGAGATACAACCAGAACCCCTCATTCTTCAAAGGGTATTTTTCTCTAGAACAACCTAGATTTGACCTTCCCTGACATGAAAAAATGAATCTTATTGTAGCGTCCTTTCTGATGTGATTCCATATCAGAATTACTTTTTTTTCAGAATTACTTTAAATTACAATTGGCCCTCTGTATCTGTGGGTTCTACAACTGCAGATTCAACAAAGTAGGGATTGAAAACGTGGGAGGTGGGGAGGAATTATGTCTTTACTAAATATGTACAGACTTTTTTCTTGCCATTGTTCCCTAAAAAAGCAGTATAACTACTATTATGTAGTATTTAATTGTATACCTACAATACTTGGGGTCTATAATTAATCTAGATTACTTATGCTGGAGGTGTGCATAGGTTATATGCAAACATACCTTTTTTTTTTTGGTTGCCTAGGGTTTGAATTCAGAGCTTCATGCTTGCAAAGCAGGCACTCTACCACTTGAGCCACATTTCTAATCCATTTTGTTCTGGTTATTTTGGAGATGGGGTCTCACAAACTATTTGCCTGGGCTAGCCTCAAACTGAAATCCTTCTAATCTCTACCTCTCAATTAGCTAGGATTACAGGCATGAGCCACTATGCCTAGCCTAAATGCTGATTTTCTAAATAAAGGATACTAAGTAATAGGGAATTGGAGTGCTGAGGGTGGAAACTTAGAATGTGTGAAGTTTAGGGAGGATGTGGAATGTCTCAGATTGCATTGTATCCCATCCTGCCCTGAGTACTGCCCACCCTCTAGCAGCACACACTTGTCAGCTTCCTCAGGCAGACTGAGGAGTATCTGTAGCTCTTAACAGGTCTCCTGGATACTCTCCCACATAGCGTAACTAAAGGAAAACTGTTCCTCTACTTACAACACTCTTGACACCAAAATGTGCAGGTTTCTACACTAAGCAATTCTCTGTCTGTATTGACACTGATTGGGTATTTCACAATTTAATTCACTTCTGAGACAATCCAGAGAGAGTACAAATCCCATAGATTAAGGATTCATTCCCATAAGATTGACCCCACTTTAGATGTCAGTTGCAATTCCTAAGTCAAAGGTACACACACTCTTCTACCAGTTGGCTATAAACTGGGGACCCCAATTGGCCCCTTAGGTTTGATAATTTGTTATAATAGCTTCTAAAACTCAAGAAACACTTTACTTAATATTCAATTGAACAGAGAGATGCAGATATATATAAGGAGAGGTCCAGAGGGATGCAGGAACTACTGTCTACAGGGAGTTAGGTTAGGTGGCCCTCTTGCACGTAGATGCACTCATTAACCTGGAAGCTCTTTAAACACCTTTTGTAGGATTTTTAGTAGACATTCCATTATATAGGCATGGTGGAGTAAATCATTGGCCACTGGTGGTTAACTTAAACGCCCTGTCTGAGCTGTTGGAATGGCTGAAGTGGTAGCATGCCTGCCTAGCAAGCATGGGGTCCTGAGTTCAAACCCCAGTACTGTAAAAAATGTATAACTAAATAAACAAACCCCCAGAGGTTAGAGTGGTGCTGAAATTACCAACCTTTTAATCATACTTTGGTCTTTCTGGTGACTAACCCCCACCCTGAAGCTATCCAGGGACCCCAGCCACAAAGTCAGTTCATTATGATAAAAAGACACTCTTACCATTCATTCCTGGAGATTCAAGGATCTTTTCAGGAGCCACAAACCAAGACCAAGTACTATAACAAAACATGCCCCATTACTCCTATGCTTAAGATTGACAGAATTTTAGGAACTCTATATCAGGAACTGGGGACAGAGACCAAAATAATAACTATCTTATTGGGGAGCTTGGCTTAGTCTGTTTAGAATGCAAAGGAACCAGTAGTGATTTAAAAATCAAGAGCCTTAGAAACAATTACATGAAGCGGCTTTAAATGTCTTCAAATCTTATCTCCCTCCTGATACAAAATCCCTGCCAATAACTTAGTGTTGTTAGGTATAAACATCCCAGTTCCTACTTAAATCTTCCCAATAATAAGGGACAATTCATCATACATGAGGTAGCCCACTTTCCAACAGCCTTACCACTTAGTTTTTACTGTGTTAATATAAAAACTGCCTCCCTGGGACATCTACCTAATGATTCTGATTTTACTCTCTAGAGATATCCAGAATGACTTATCCCTTTTAGCCTCCCCGAGTCACACTTTCCTCATTTGGACTAGACAACTTCTCAGGATGGCTCCAATGTGATGTTGTGAGGTGACTTACCACCTGTTCTTTAGGGCAGATTGCTGGGGAATTAAGCAGAAGGAATCACACTTGGTTTGAACCTCCTAAGCAAAAGACTCACTCACACTTGGTTTGAACCTCCTAAGCAAAAGACTCCTCCTGTGAATGAGTAGAGAAGACACCTTTTCCCCTTGCCTCAGCCTTCTGGTCTTTATCCTCAGGGCTGCTACCCTCGAAAAGGAAGTGGCTGTGTTACGGGAGAAGATCCACCACTTGGATGACATGCTCAAGAGTCAACAGCGCAAAGTTCGGCAAATGATAGAGCAGGTAACAGGGTCAGATCTTAACCTTCCCTGGGTTATAAACCCAACTCTATGTTTTTATTTATTCTCCTAGACAGCTTGACTTAATAGTCATGTGTTCCCATAAAACATTTATAGCTACCAATTACTAGGCTTTGAGTTTTTGGAATTTACTTTTCCTCTGTTTTCCCCCTACTTCTTTGGCCATTTGGCTTTTGCTTTCCAATTGGAAAGGAAGGAGAAGTTTAGTCTCCTTTATATTCTGAAGAGTGCTAGTAACTGAGTAGTAGTAAACTTAGTTATCTGTGTGAAGATTATTAGTCTTTGTGCCTCACAGTAGATTTCCTGCCTTACCTTGCCTGAGCTTTAGGATAACATATTCAGGATATGCCAAATTGCAAAATTGTTTTGATAACTTAAGCCCTTTTAATTGAGAGGGCATATTTCTTTCATGTTAGCTCCATTTGTGTTATTTATTTACAGATCTTATTTAAAACAAGATCTGTAATATGGCAGGCACTCAATAAATATTTTCTGAATGAATAATTTGTATTTTCTAAAGCCAAATGAAATGGGTTTTGAATCATTCATTATATATTTTGGATTATGAAGGTAGTCTTCCCTTCTCACTCCATTATTCTCTACCTCTGAGATAATCAAGAGTTTGCTATTGACTAAATAGCAAATGAAAAGCTAATGAAATCATGAGAATTACAGAGCTCTGTCTTTCATCTCTGTTGGGTTCTCCAGCAGCTAGGGTGAAATTTAGTGGGTGTGTAATAAGTCGCTACAAAATGAATTCCAATGTCTCTTACATCTTTGCAGCTCCAGAATTCAAAAGCTGTGATCCAGTCAAAGGATGCCATCATCCAGGAACTCAAGGAGAAAATCGCCTATCTGGAGGCAGAGGTTTGTGTACTGGGTAGCCCCAGCAGGGAATAGTATCCTTGGGAAGCCTGGACACAGGGAGAGAGTGGTTATGAAGGGAGTCTTTGTCTTGTCTAGCTGCTGCTCAGAAGTATATATCTGGGTGTATTGCACCATAAACATTTTCTGAGAACCTTCAGGGAGTTACTAACAATGGTAAGACCTGCTCTTACCTTCAAGAGACATAGCATCATGGTACAAGCTGCCTGCCAGGACACATTCTGACCATATGGCCTTTACAGATGAGTTGACAGTAGAGCGTGGTTTTGAAGGAAGAAGAGGCATTCTATAGTTGGAGTCCTCTCCATGGCTAAGGTGATGGGCTCAATTAGCTACTGAGTTGTCTTCCTAGTCTAATATCTGCTTTACTACTGAGGCCTTCCTATCTGTTAAGTACCTGCAGATCACTTTGCCAGTCACTTTGTGAAGATTGTTGTAGTAGAGGAGATAAATGAGAGACAGGATTGTTTGTCTTTAGAGTATTTGCAGTCTAGTTAGAGATAAAATATATTTAAAAAAAAACCAAAAACACCCTAAGAATACTTAATAGAATAGCATATTGACAAAGGCAAGTGAATATCTCAACTGACAATAGGAAACTATATTCAGGAGAGGAGATACAGGAAATGTTCAGTGTTGCAGAATTATTGATGAGCAGATATTAGAGGAAGAGAGCAATCTATGATGATGAAGGTGAAGGGAGAGGATACCCAGGTGGTAGCATGCATGGGTGTAAACCCACACTGAAGAGAGATGGAGAGACCAGAAGGAGCTAACTAAGTATGACACATGGCAAGCCAGAAAAAGACCCATTGTAACCCCAGAGCTTGTATTACAGAACTTAGAGATGCATGACCGGATGGAACATTTGATTGAGAAACAGATCAGTCACAGCAACTTCAGCACCCAGACCCGGGCCAAGACAGAGAACCTGGGCAGGTAAGTGTGTGTGAATGGAGTGGCCCAAGCAGGAAGGGGGGACAGGAAGAAAGAAGGGACTGAACTATGCAAAACCTTTAAGTTTTAAGACAAGAATAAGGCTCATTTAAGTTCAACTTTCTTCTCTCAGTCTCTGATCCAAGCCATTCTCTACCAGAACATTTTCGAATTTATTTAGAGTGACGTCTGATACCATGAACCCAAGGAGGACCATGAATAGGTTCTTGCAGGTGTATGAACCCCTTGAGATTGTGTGCAAAATTTATTTGTAATATTTTCACTTTACAAATACCATATGTACATATATATGTATTTCTGAAGAGTTTTTCTTTTTCTTTTTTTCTTTTTTTTTTGCGGTACTGGGGCTTGAACTTAGGGCCTTCACCTTGAGCCACTCCACCAGCCCTAATTTTGTGAAGGTTTTTTGAGATGGGGTTCTCACGAACAATTTGTCCATGCTGGCTTCAAGTAACTAGGATTACAGGCATGAGCCACTGGCATCCAGCTAAAGAGGTTTTCTTTGCTTCAAAATCACAGCTATACCCACTTCTCTGTTGTTTAATTGCCCCTCTTTTTATCACCCCTGCCACCAGACAAATGTATTATGCCCCAAATTTTGTCTTCATTGTTACTAAAAATTACTGTTTCAAAGCACTTGGAACTCAAGAGACCAACCAACACTGAAGTATAGGATTCCAGAGGCAAATGTGGAAGAGAGGCTATGTAAAGGGTGGGGTGGGCAACAGTTGGGCACTGGTGGTTCATGCCTGTAATCCTAGCTACTCAGGAGGCACAGATCAGGAGGATCATGATTTGAAGCCAGCCCTGGGCAAATAGTTCCCAAGACCCTATCTTGAAAAAACCCTTCACAAAAAAGGGCTGGAGGAATGGCTCAAGGTGTAGGCTCTGAGTTCAAACCCCAGTACTGAAAAAAAAAAAAAAAAAGGGTAGGAACAAGAGAGCACTCACTGTTTCTAACTTTCTTCCCAGTGTTAGGATATCCAAGCCTCCCAGTCCGAAGCCCATGCCTCTTATCCGAGTGGTGGAAACCTGAGCTGTGAGGAAATGGAGGAGATGGATGTCACCATTACTTCCTCCTCTTGCCTGGGAGAAGCCCGCCACCTCTGTAGGCTGTTAACACTGACTTTGACTTCCTAACTGTTCCTCGGCTGCATCCAGGACTTGGGGTTCATGTGTCCTGCCAGTCCCAAGCTCCTGTCCTCTGTTTGTTGGGCAGATGGAGTGTAAACGCCTCCTCTGGACACTACAGCCCTTTGGAAGATGTTATCCTGCCAGCAGGAGCCAGAGCAATATCCTCATTTGTGTATTATTACTATTTTTCTATGTAGCTGAGCCTCCCTTCTGCTGTACGCTGAAGTCCAGCTGGCCGAAGCCAGGCCCTCATCGGGTTGAAAGAGGTGACAAGATTTGTCTCAACCCTAAAAGCTGTAGGCACAGGTGTCCAGAGTGATTGGAGTATATCCTGGGGGAATGAATTCCTTCTATATACACAGCTCAGTCTTAGCAAGAAACTGTTTTTCTACTTACTCCACACTCAGCCCATGCTGACCTGGGCCTCCTCAAGACAGACATTGGGGCTATCTGTCCAGGCCTGGTCAGAGTCAGGGAACCTAAACTTTGACCTGACAGCCTTGTCTTTCTTCAGAGAGTAGCTCTTAGCAGGCAGATTCTGTAGGGCTTTGTGTGACTTCTCTCTGCTGTGAAAACCCTGGAATCTCTTTGAGTTTTTCCCTGATGTGCACTGAAAGGCACAGCTCAGTCTTTCTGAGCCTAAAACCTATGTTTTCACTGAGTTACATCACTCCCAGGAAAAGCTTTACCATATTTATTTTGCTAAGTTATTGGTGTTTTTGCTTACATCTCACAATTGACTTAATACCAAAGTTCCATAGACTTCTGTTGAGGTATTTGGGTTTGTTTGAGACTAGGAACAGTATTCTCGTTGGCCTTGTTTCAGAATGACATTGTGATAAATCTTCTTTCCTCCTCCAAAGTCCATTGATCCGTGCTTCAGGAAGGCAAGCATGCAATCCCTGAGCTGATGTTTGGGGGAACAGGGCTATCGGACATTTTTGGGAGCAGGGATGGGTTCTTCCCTAACCTCTGTGAACCCCGCTGCTCTACAATTGGTCTTTATCCTGGCTTTGAATGACCTTGTCGCTCATCGTGTTTCTACAGCCTCAAAAAGTAGGTAAGAGTCAGAATGTGGTACTATAGGACACAGAAAGATTAAAAGTAAATATGGATTTAGTCTTAGGCTCTTCTTGGCTCAGAAGCCTTAAATCTGTGTGTTTCTGTGATCAGGACTGGCCTTTCATTCTGCTTCGTGCATAACGATGTTCTGGACTTCAAGCAGTCATCCCTCATTTGTAAACTGAGGGAGCCGGGCCAGATGATCTCCATGTCCCTTACAAGTCTAGTAGTTTTTCTGTGACATATTCTTTGTATGATGAATTTAATAAATTATGTTCATGTGTCTCTTTGACCTCCTGGCCTGGTTTTCTTTTACTTTTTTGGAGAGAATGAAAGAAGATAATTTAGGTGGGCACCAGTGGCTCACACCTGTAATTCTAACTACTTAGGAGGCAGAGATAAGAGGGATTGTGGTTCAAAACCAGCCCAGACAAATAGTTCACAAGACCCCCAAAAAAAGAAGAGCTGATGGAGTGGTTCAAGGCGTAGGCCCTGAGTCCAAAAACAACCTCAGTATCATAAAAACACAAAAACAAAAACATAATTTAGTGTCTTTTGAAGGTGGGCATTTGTCAACATCTGAAAGGTAAGGAAGGTCTAAATGTCTCAAACACTATGATATGAGGACATCATGGCATTCAGAAGAGTTAAAAGCAGCCCACCTCCTGGACTGAGTCCTCATTGTAGGAGGTGGCCCCTAAACTTAGCTTTGTCCCAGTCTGGGGCAGTGACCTAGCAGGATCCCTAAGCTTGTCCATACTGTGTACTCATTTGGAAAAGAGTTGGTCAGAGGTAGAGGTCCTAAGATTGCACAGAGATATGCCAGTCAGAACTGGAGGTACATGAGCAACTCCACATCCTTTGCAGAAATGAAAAGCACTCTGGAAACGCTGGCTGCAGCTGTGTGAGTTTGGTTTATAGCTGTCTCTGGGTATCATTCAACTAGTCCAATATTTTTGAGGTTTTTTGTTTGTTTTCCCTTTCTGTCAAGAAACTGGCTGACTGTAGGGCCAAACGGGGACATAACTGAATTTGTACAAATCCTTTCTGGCCAAAGAAACCCGAGACACAACTCCTCTCCCCCCACCCCCATTCCCTGACCCTGTTTCTAGTTCCCCTTTCTCCTTCACTTGAGAGTACTTTTTGCTGTGATTACTTTTCTTCTCCTGTCTCCTGCTTCTCAGCTAATTCACACTACAGGCTTCAAAATGCACTGGAAACATTCCAGTCCAGACCTAGATTTGTTGTTTGACACCTGGGGTTCTCTTCTCAACCTGGCATTGGAATATCTAGACTGCCTGTCTCAGAATATTAACAAGGTGGAAGCAGGGCGGGGTTGGCTGAGCATGCCAAGAAGACCGGCCTGGCTGGAGGATGCGGGAGTGAGTGTGCTGCCCTGCAGGAAAGGGAGTCTCTCCAGCTGTGCCTTCTGGGCTCCGTGGGAGGGGCAGAGATTTGGGTTGGATAATGAAGTGGGCTGGAGACCAGAAGCTGGGCTCCCTTGGTCAAAAAAGTGCCTCTAGTGTCTATTTCTGAGTTTAAGTATACCACTGCCAAAAGGAGTAGGGACTTGTCACAGGGAATAAGGAGGATCTATGGGAGGACAAGGTAGTCGGGAAAAGGCAGTTGATAATCTTTCCAATTACAGAGGAAGGATGGGGGGCTGAGGAGAAAGAGCGCTCAGGGCCTGAGAAAGGGCGTGGTAAGTAAGCTGCTCCTAGCTTCATGGCCTGTGTTTTGTGATTTTGAAAGCCAACTCCTGTGTGCTGCTTTAATATTTTGTGGAGGAAGAACTGCGTCTGCCTCTTTGGGACCTTTGCCATGAAGGCATGTTTCTCTGAGCCGGGTGTTAAGAGCTGCCCAGACATGCATCATCATTGACAGCCTCCTGTAAACCTGGAGCATCAGCCTGAACGTGGGAAAAGGAGCCTGCGGGAGCAATCCTTGCCACCCCAACAACTGCCCTCATTTTTCCTTCCCCTGAACAGAAAAGGGCCTGAGAGTGACATGTTAGTTCGACCAAGTGGCACATTGGAACTTTTAAAAACTAAGTTTCTGAGGCTCCAAATTGATAGGTTCATTTTTATCTCCAAAAATTTTCCACTATGAAATGCTTCTACTTGGGAAAGATGCTCTGACAGGACACGGTTTAAAGTAACTTAATTTTACCAAGGAGGATTGGAAAAGCTCTTCGCTCTGTGGAACTCCCTGGGCTCCCTTGTTCCTCAGATCCATGCTGCAGAGCTTGGGTCTGAGCTTGTTCAGGCTCTGACCCAACAGCAGATGTTAGCCTAGGGCCCTTGGCCTCTTTTTCACGCTTTGATTTAGAACTCTGGCTCTGTAAGTGGTAATTGTTTCCTATCTATCCTGTCCCAATTCTAAGCACCGTGGCCTTGAAACTCAAAAGTTGGAGTCCTAAATATTCGCTAGCCCCTCTTTTACAAGGAAAATCCTTATCCAGGCTGAAGATGAAAGAGATGTTTCTTAAAAGTGAGTAATTTCTAGCTCAGCATGCTCTGAATGTTGGCACTAAGATTTGCTTTGAAATCTAAAATGTATGGCTTTTGAGCTGGAATCTCTCTTCCCCTGGAGCCCACTGGGATATGGGACTGAGGGGAGAAGGTAGCAGGATAGTTAACTTCCTGTAGGGTTTTGGCTGCCAAGTCTTAGACCACAGGATCTCACACAGCTGAGGGAGAGGAAATCATTACTCCTCATAACTTACTCTGTCAATTCAGTGCTGATCACACACCCAGCCCGCTTCCTCCTTGCTAAGGGTAAGGCCAAGTCTCACCTAGGTCTGCAGGAGGTTTGTGACTCTTATGTCCATTTTGGCAGTCTCGGGATTTGAGTTTGGTTCTTTGCATTTGCTAGGCAAGCACTCTCCCACTTGAGCCATACCTCAGCAACCTTCTGTCTGTTGTGAGTCTTTCAATATGTACTTATGTTTAAAGTTACCTGCTATGTCACTTTCCTACTGGGGGAAATTTTTTGAAGAATACCGATCTATAAAACAGACTAATAATCCAGTCTACAGTGTAATCTCAGGGTCAGGGGATCTGAGTCCTTCTACACTGACCCTCCTTTATAAATCTCAGGCTTTCTCTTAGTAGAACTGTAACTCTTCAGACTGGACATTTTCAACCTCCTTTGACTTCTTTCTCCATTCTTTTATCCAATTACATCCAGTTTGTCAACACTCTCTAATGTTTCCTGCTTTGAAATATCTCTCAAATATGCCCCTTCCCATGCTCAGTCTGGCCTCAGCCCATCTCCTTAAACCTGGATTACCACTGAAGCCAGCACTTGTTGATCCCCCACCTCTAGTCTCTTACCTGCCCCAAATCCACCCTTCTCACCACTGTCATTTGAGTCTTTCCCAAATACTATTTTTATCCTATCAAGTTGGTAGAGACTTTGCCAGGACAAAAAGACTGATGGGAAACATGACAGTAGTCTCCAAAGAGTTGAAAGTCCATCCCTTAGCAAGAAGAGCAATGTTGGTCCAGAGGGCAGAATCCAGAACTGTAGGTGGTCATTCCAGGGAGCTAGCTAAGAAATGACAGAAAAGCTGGGCACCAGTGGCTCACACCTGTAATCCTAGCTTCTCAGGAGGCAGAGATCAGGAGGTTCTCAGTTCAAAGCCAGCCTGGGCAAATAATTCAGGAGACCCTATCTCAAACACAACACAAAACAGGGCTGGTGTTATGGATCAAGTAGGAAAGTGCTGCCTAGCAAGTGTGAGGTCCTGAGTTCAAATACCAATACCGCCCAAAAAAAAGAAATGGCAGAATGTGTTGACAATGTTTATAGTTGCCCTATGTGTGTCTGTCTTTTTCTTTCAGTATATGTTTGTGTTTTATTGCAAAACAGCAATATCCCAGTTCAAAAACAGGATAAAGAAATAGGGACAAAGAGGGCTGGCAGAGTGGCTCAAGTGGTAAAGCTACAGTGCTTGCCTATCAAATGTGAGGTCCTGAATTCAACCCCTATTGCTACCCCCCCTCCAAAAAAATAGGGACAAATACTGGGTGGAGAGAAGCTATGGCTCAAGTGGTAGAGCACCTGCCTAGCAATTGCCAGAACCCAAGTTCAAACCCAAGTAATGCAAAAGAAAATACCAAGGAGTAATTTTTACTTACAAAGCTAATGATCTACATGAAAGAAAAATAATCACACTTTCCTGAGAAACTTGGGAAGACTGCATCAGGTATGGTGTTGTGTGCCTGTAATCTTAGCACTTGAGAGGCTGCGACAAGAGGATTGAAGGCTAAAGGCCAGCGTAGGCTAAATAGTGAGACCATGTCTCAAAAACCCAGGGGCTGGAGATGTGGCTCAGAGGTAGAGCACTTGCCTACCATGTGCAGGTCCCTAGGTTTGATCTCTAGTATCACAAGAAAAAAAATAGAAAACTTTATGAAGAAAAAAATGTCCTGGGTGGAAAAATTAAAATTGCAATGATGTAAATTCTTCCTTAATTTAGTTTTAGATTTTGTGTAATCACAATGAATGACAGTGAGTTCTTTTTAGGATTGGATTTAATTATTTTAGAATTCATCTGGAAGAATAAACAGGAGA